TCTCCGTCTCGCCGTGAATGTTTAACAGATTGCATCTCCACGTCGACACGATTCGGTAATTCCCGATCTTATCTCAGTTGCATATAATTGTGATGCTGTTTATTTTTGCTTTGTTGTTAAGTTCTGATGAAAAACAGTTTGTTGTTAGATTGGTAATCCACTGATAGTAGCTTGAAATGTGATTTCGAATTTATTCAGTTGAGTCAAAATTGCTATTAAACTATGATGAATTCTAAATTCAATGTCGCTTTAAGTATTGGATTATGCTGAATTTATTGTGTCGGATACCATTCCGTTTGTGTATGTTGAGTTATTATCATGTTTTGTTTGAATTCGATTGAAATTTGTACCGTGATAATTTGTTCTTGTTTTGATTTCCATTGAATTTGTGGCAAATAATATTCATGTTAGTTTCGATGAAGGTGACGATAATGCCGCATTTTATTTGCGTGTAAATCTAACCGAGAAACCATTGAAGACATCATGCTATTTCCTTTTGTTACAAACCATGTTTAAAATTGGAATTTTTGGGACATATTTTATAGAGTTGCTGCCCGGTTTTTCAATTTGATCGATTATGGCTCAATCACATTTTGTTTTCCATGTTTTGAACATGTTTTGAATAGCATGAATAGATGCTAATTGGTTTTTGAATACTCATAAATGGAATGAACATTTGATTTTCGCTTTGAGATTTTAAGTCCATAAAGTTTTTTAGTTGCTGTCCAACTTTTGATTTGCATGAATAATGTTTGATTTTTCATGGTTTGAATGGAATTATAGCATGAGTTTCTTTGGTTTTGTTTGTGAATTTAAATTATTGATAATCATCATTTGTTTGGTTCATGCTTTGAATTCAATTTCTCATGTTGCAAAGTGAGCTTGGGATTTTTGTTTTCCGTTGTGTTTGAAATAGCGGTTGCTTTTGATACACTTGAAATAATGAATGCAATGCTGATTTTTGTGTTTACATTGAATAATGTCATGAATTCTTGATTTTTATTTGTGTAAATATTCATTTATTCATATGCAGCACACAATTTCATTTTTTTACTTACTGACACATGTTTTAACCGTTGCAATTTCCTTCATTTTATACCGCTTATGCTACTAACGAGTTTGTTTACTGTGAAGGTTTCCGAGAACTGTATCAAGTGTTCGTTCTCGCATAGCGCATTTATACTTTTTTATTATTCCTTTTTTACCTTACTATTTTGATTTAATATTTGGCACTGTAAATATATACTTGTACATAATATTTTGACTGTATATTTTATTCACTTCACTTGTAAATAAATTCAGGTTTTGAAAATATTATTTTCACCGCATTGTGATTTTATTTTTAATTCCAACTAACTTCTGAAAATTGTGCGGACGCACATAAGTTTCCCCGTGCTGTTAGATTTGTCGGTATATCTCTTGTGATGCAGGGATTTTTATCTGATACCGTGAGCTTTATCCATCGCCTTTGCGCTTTATCTGATTCCTCTCCTGACACGCTTTTCTCATATGTGATTTATTTTCAATTGATGCGCTTTATCTGATGCTTGGAGTATTATCTCACATCAGGTTTTTTTGATGCTGCCGGCTTGTGATTTATTTTCACCTAAGGTTTGGTATACTCTTAGCTTACTTATCTGTCTGTGGCTTTAAATCCAAGGGAAATAATTAATTTGTTGACTTCATGTCATCGAGTATTTAATACGATTATGTGAAATCCCTTCATACTTTTTTTTAGTTTTGTTAATCTTAAGACAAATCTCCTACAAATCAATTTTTAAACTCACACCCCCTTTTAAGTCAAAACTTCAACACTAGGTCGTTGTATCCTCAAAATCTCATCCATACCCATTTAACTAAACAAACAATTTTAACCAAAAACAGATATTTCAAAAGGTTCCTGCGGAGTACCGCAGATGCATTGGGTGCTAATACCTTCCCATTGTATAACCAACCCCCGAACTCTCGATCTCTTTTAAAAACGCATTGTATTTTCATTACTTTTAAATATTACTTTACATTGCATATTTTAGGGTTTTATTTCGCTCTTTTCCCTTTTCCCTTGGAAATAATAAAGCGCGGTGGCGACTCTTGCTTTTGTGAGTCAAGTTAATTAATAGCTTGATCTCCGATTTTCACCGCTACAAGTACAAAGGTGAGACGAAGAGGGATGATGGAAAATAACAAATTATATATTTTGTAAAAAAGAAGAAGAAGATATAATAACTAAGGAATCTGATACGTGTTAACCCATCATAACAACCATACTCCTTTAATCATAACCGCATAGCCTCAATCAAACTATCCAAAATCATGCACTCTACCGTATTACTATGCACTCTCTCATACGCTAACCTACGGGCTTCCTCCCAAACTCTGTTGGACCAGGCCTAATACTAACGCCACACTCCTTTTTTTTTGCTAAACATTTGTGAAATAATACCCCCAGCTTATTAGGCCTAGTCCAAAATCTGACTAGGGCCCAATTGCTTTGCTCGCTCCCAGTTTTGCTATGACCTTCAAAAGCACACCCCCTGGCCTTTGGGCCTGAATTCAATATCTAAATTCAGGAAATTCCTATTAGAACACCCACCTTTTACTAACCCAATACATTTCACACCCCCTACGTTTCTTATTCATTTTATAAAATTCCTTATATTTTTTTATTTTATTTTTATTATATACATATTTTTGTATATTATACTTTTCATGTATATTTTTATATAATATTGAACTTATTAAAATATTACACTTATTTTCATTAATTATCACATGTTTTCTAATTTCCTAAATTCCTAAAAATATTATTTTATGCATTAAAACCTATTTTTATATTCACGCATTTAAATAGAACTCTTTTTTATAATAATTAACATATTAAAAGACATCCAACCAACTACAAACCTTTTTCTTTTAATCAAATCAATTCAATGATCAATTTTCAAAAAGAATTGTGAATTTATTCAAATCGACTGCGCGTTTAGTCTAATAAACTCCGCTATTCAAAACACCCAGACTAAACGCACGGAAAATGCGAATATCCTCACAGTCCATAAAAAACACAAACAAACCGCGAACTACGAAATGAGACTTTGATTCCTCGTAAGAGGATACGTAGGCATACGATTAAAATCCTGACGAGTTCTCCTAATTAAAATTAAAACCCATTCCCCCTAATTAAAATTAAACCCTTTTTCTTCCCCTAATAAAAATTAAAACCCTATTTCCTAATATCGTGTTTCTAACCCTAGTATCCTTGTGAACAAGGTAGATGACGAGTGCCTAACACCTTCCCTTCATCTAAAACCGAGTCCAAAAAACCTAGAATCTCTAACTTTTAGGATTATCCTTTATATTCCATTCCTTAGAATAAAAATTAAGGGTGACGACTCTCAAATTTAAAATCAGTTGCAACACCTTGGAGTTCCACTAACAAGTAAAAAGTTATTTGTGCATCATAATATGGTTTTGGTTGGTAAAATTATGATGAGAATCAAGCATTGGAGTGCAAGATTACTGAGCTTTGCTGGAAGATTACAACTCATTAGAAGTGTGGTTTTTGCAATAGCCAACTATTGAATGCAATGCTCCCCCCTTCCAAGTAAAATGATCAAAAAAGTTGAGGCCATTTGTAGGTCCTTCATGTGGATTAGAAAAAAGAACCTGACAAGGAAATCTCCTGCAGCGTGGAACAAGGTTTGTTCTCTAAAAAGCTAGGGTGAATTGAATTTAATATCTGTCAAAAGTGGAACCAAGCTAATGTGATAAAGTTGTTTTGAAACTTTAGTGGTAAGGCTGATAATCTATGGATCAAATGGATCCATTACTAATATATAAAAGAGATGACTTGGTGACTGTACTTGAGACTATTGTGTGTTCTTGAATACTTAGGGCAATCTTGAAATAGAGGTCAGTGATACATCAAACTTAAATATGGAACAACTTACAACAAGAAACAAGATTCTAAAGTAAGAAGACTTATCTTGCACTAAAGAGCACTCAATAACCGGTCGAGTGAAGATAGATTTTGTATGATAGCATGGCAAGACCCAGAGCCAACTTTGTATTGTAGATAACATGCCAAGACAAGTTAACAACTAAGAAGATAATGCACCGATTTGAAATGAGAGATAATGACATCTGCTCCTTCTACAACCAGAAGGAAACACTTGAACATATATTCTTCTCCTGTTATGTCTTGAAAAATATATGAAAACAGTTTTTAAATTGATTGGTAATTCAACATCCACTAAAGAAGTGGACATAAAAGTTACAAATAGATTATTTATAACAATAATGAAAAAGGATAGAAAGCACAATTATTTAAAAGTGTTTTTTTCTTCCTGAAATTATATATGAAATTATTTGCTTTGACAACAATGTAAGTAATTCTATTATAGGACAAAAGTCATAAATATTATAATTTATAGGACATATATTAACTCAAAGCTTAGACAACATATTAGTAGATTATGCCTTAGCTTGACCTTGTATTAGAATATTTTATTTGGTTAATCAAAAATATTAATTGATTCAAAAAAGAAAAAAATATTAAAAAATGTTTAATTATAATTTTGGTCTCCTATTATAATTTTTTTGAATTTTGATCTTCTTATTTTAAAATTTGAAATTTTAATCTCTTTATTTTAATTTTTTTATTTGAAGATTTTAATCCCCGCAAATTTGAAAATAATTTTTAATAATATAACGCTCATTTAATGATGTGTCAGTGTCAAATCAATAATAAATTGATCAAAAAAATTGATCAACAATAAAATTTATATCAAAAAAATTATCTTCAAATTAATTAAAATCTTAAAAAAACTAAAATTATGAATTTTAAAATAAAGACACCGGAAAAAAAAAAACGCGCTAAAATTGCAATTAAGAAAAGAAAAAAACAAGATATATTCGTAGATAGTTACACCGAAGGATAGCTTATAAGAAATCCGAAAACCCTAAACCCTAACTCATTTCCTGAACTCGCTCCACTCGCAACGATGGCAACCCAGATCTTCTTCCGAGTCTTCCCCAAAACCCAAACCGTAGCTTCCCTCTTCTCTCGCTTACTCTCCACCACCACCACCACAGTCACCGTCCCCTCTTCATCTGCCAACTCTCTCCTTCGCCGACTCCGCCCTCTTTCCACCGCTTCCCTCACCTCCCGCCGTGTCCTCGTTCTCCCTAACTCCTTCCGCTCCTTCTCCACACGCGCTACCACCTCCTCACTCAACGACCCTAACCCTAACTGGTCTAACCGTCCCCCAAAGGAAACCATCTTGCTCGATGGATGCGATTTCGAACACTGGCTTGTGGTTATGGAGAAACCTGAAGGTGATCCCACAAGAGAGGAAATCATTGACGGGTATATCAAAACACTCGCCCAGGTTATCGGTGGAAGGTAATCGTCGCAAAATTTGTCTCAATTTTCATTCTTTTTTTTTAGTATTTTGCTTGGTTTTCTTCGGATTAAAAAAAAAGTAATTTTCGCTATTGGGTCTAGGAATATCTGTTAAAAAATGTGTTTGGCCGTATAATAAAATGATAGACATATGTTGAGAATAGTGACTCTGAAGATGTGTGTGAATATATCGTTCTGTTTTGTTTAATCCCTTAGGTGCTGTGAACAGCTTGATTTGCTGCTTGTAATATATATGCTTATCTTGATAAGCACTTAGTTGTAAGCTATTTCTATAACAAAATGTTAAATAAAGTGAAAATGTTTTTTGTGTAAGCTAAAAGCTGTTTTTCAATTGAAATATTGAAGAGCTTATAAAAAAAAGAAGCTAAAAACATATGTCACAAGTTGTTTTCATAAATTCTCCGAGAACATTAGTGGATAGTGATTATCCCTGTAGATAAGCTCAAATAAACCAATTCAAACCGACCATTATTGTGAGTGGTTTGTTTTGTTAACAGTGAGGAAGAAGCAAGGATGAAGATATATTCTGTTTCAACTAGACACTACTTTGCTTTTGGAGCTCTTGTGTCTGAAGAGCTCTCCTACAAACTTAAAGGTATAGCACATAGTTTCAACTGCTTATGATTTTGTTTTTCTTTAATATTAAGGGTTTTGTACTTTTCAAATTGCAGAACTTCCCAAAGTTCGATGGGTTCTACCTGATTCATATTTGAATGTGAAGGAGAAAGATTATGGAGGTAAATTTTATTTTCCAGTCTCATGGCTTCTACTTATATTCATTCAATCCAAGGTGTATAAATATCTTCAACTGTGTGTCGGTATAGGGAATAGCATGCTCACAACCCCTAGAGTGAAGTATAATAAAGTAGAAAGATAAAATGACCCGTTAAAGAAATGCTATGTAGATATTTAAGACTTTGGTGTAGGCATTCTAGAAGCATCACCTTATAGATAGATATAGCATAACTTTTTACTCGATTATTCTAATCAATCAGTGTTGAGCTGTGTGCTCAATCTATATTTATCTATCACATAACCTTTTAATTCACCCTCCTTTAAAATGATCTGTTGCTTATATATAGATGAAATGAATGGATGTTTAGTAACCTTTTGTGGTACATGAAGTGCAAAAGTTCACCAGAGAATAGTCATTTGTTATTAACCTTTGGCTTGCACATTAGTTTATTGATTTTTATTGTTATTAACTTGAGCTCTAATATACTTGAGTTTAGTAATATCAGGTGGTACAATAAGTATACCATATATAGTCTTTCCATAGCATATCATATTTCTTGATGTAACATGGTCGCAATTTTAATTTGATACACACGGTGATCTTTTTTTGTTTCCCTCTCACCAGGTGAGCCCTTTATTAATGGGCAAGCTGTTCCTTATGATCCCAAGTACCATGAAGAGTGGGTTAGAAACAATGCCCGTGCAAATGAAAGGAACAAGCGCAATGACAGACCTCGTAATGCTGACAGGTCAAGAAACTTTGACAGGAGAAGGGAAAATGTGGTGAACAGAGATATGCAGACTAGGCCTCCAATGCAGAATCCTGGGCCTAATATGGCTGGTCCGCCTCACAATGCTGGTGGATTCCCTCCTCCAAACATAAATAAATTCAATCATTATCATTAAATGATTCTCATGCTGAACAGGATTAGTGATGATGTCTACGTTAGATTTTTCTTGCTCAATTTAGGTAGATTTTCTTGAATCAAGAGGGACTCATAATACTGGATGATTTGTGCATATCAAGGGTTGCTCAAGAGACTGAGCAAGAATTACTGATTTAATCATTGTTATATATGTCAAATAATTTTTCACGGAATCTGAGGTACTAATGTTATTCAAAGTTTTTAGATTTTCGATCATAAGTATGATGGCTCCTTGGAGCAATACAAAGCTTGTCTTACGAGTAATTGTGTTTAATCGACAATCTAATTTCAATTGTTGTAAAATATTATCCATTGTCAAACTAACCATTGTTCACATAATACTCATAATCATATTGTCTAAATCATGTATCTTTATTTAAGAATTCTCTTTATGGTCTTAAAAACTACCTCGTGTATGGTAAGCGATTCACTAACTATGTTGTGAAAAAGAGTTTATCTCAACAATTTTTTTGTCCGAGTTATATTGTCATTGTAATGATATTGCTTACATTGGTTTAATATATATATATAATTATCAAAATATAATAATTAAATAATCCTTTGAGCAATATCATGCAGATTTTGAAAACTCCTTAGTAGCCATTCTAACAAATTTCTTTCTATTAGCATTGTCGGTTTGCACATGTCCATAGACTCCATATGATGGGTTTCTAGCCTTTTGGGAGAAATTTGGTAATGCAATTTTGGAAGTGATATCTTAGTTTCCTTCTCGATTTGATTTTCATCATAGATTTTCCCTTTTCAAGTTTGAGGATACCTCTGATTTGTTACCTTTTAGGTGTAAATGGCTAGTTTATGCTGTCATGACTTCACTTCAACTTCTTTTGGCGTCAAGTTTGTGGAGGTGTAATTTGTTTTGTAAGAAATTCACAAGTAACAATTATTTTTTGATCTAGCTCTTTTCATGGAATCATTTTGTTTAGATAGAGAGTATGTGTGTCCAACGATGTATTATTAAAGAGAGAAATTTTGGATGAAGCCCACAAGAGAAAATTTATCATTCATCCTGGATCGACTAAAATGTACCAAGACTTGAAGAAGAGTTTTTGGTGGCCTGGTATGAAGAGGGATGTTGTCAATCATGTGCAGAAATGTGTAGTTTGTCAACAAGTGAAAATAGAGCACTAGAGGTCCGGTGGTATGTTGCAACCCTTAGACATTCCTATATGGAAGTGAGATAGTATATCCGTGGACTTTATAGTAGGATTACTCGCATGCCTTGGGTGGACATGACTCTATTTGAGTAATTGTGGATCGGTTAACAAAGTCCGCACATTTCTTACTGGTAAAGACAACTCATAAGGTTGTGCATCTCACGAGGCTTTTTGTGGAGGAAATTGTGAGATTGCATGGGGTGCCGTCTAGTATTGTATCGGATATAGATCTGAAGTTCAACTCTCGATTTTGGAAGGTGTTTCATTGCGAAATGGGAACAAAGTTGAACTTGAGTACTTCAAATTATCCTCAAACTAATGGGAAAACAGAGAGAGTTATCCAAACAATCGAGGACATGTCGCGGGCGAGTATTATTGAAAGTGGTGGAAATTGGAAAGATCATTTGCCTTTGATTGGATTTGTATACAATAATAACTATCACTCGAGTATTGGCATGGCATCATATGAAGCCTTGTATGGAAGGAAATGTCGATCACCGTTGTGTTGGTCGGAGGTTGGTGAAAGAGGAATTCTTGGACCGGAAATAATTCAAGAAAAACCTCTGAGAAGTTTAAGACGATCCAAGAAAAGATGAAGAAAGTGCAAGATCGTCAGAAGAGTTATGCGGATAAAAGGAGAAGGCCTTTGAAATTTAATGAAGGTAATCATGTGTTTTTTTGAAAGTTACTCCGAGGCTAAAGTTGAAAGGACCGTTTAAAACGCAGAAGCTTGGCATGAGATATATGGGACCTTGTAAAATCTTAGGATGGGTAGGTGAAATTGCATACCAGTTGACGTTGCCTCCACTATCCAGGCTGCATGATAGATTTCACGTATCTCAGTTTTAAAAGTTCGTGCCATATTCGTTTCATCCTATCCTTCCGGATATCTATTCTGGAGCGTACTAGTAAATCCTAGAGGAACAATGAGATACCTCTTGTGAAGGTGTTATGGGAAGATTCTCGTCCGGAGGAAGCTACTTGGGAGCTCGAGTCGGAGATGCGAGAGCTGTACCCTTATCTATTCTGGCGAGTTTCGAATTCGAGGATGAATTCTAATTTAAGGGAGGGAGAATGTAATATCTAATATTATGTTTATTCCCTAATGAAATTACTAATTCATTTTGGTAATGATCATTAGAGAATAAGTGAATAATGTTACACCATTTAGTAGAATATTAAGATATGAACTTAGTGGGTGACCAAAGGCATTATAGTCATTACTCCTCTTAAGTGAAACAAGTTAGGGACATGTTTGGTTGTCCTCATTCCACTTTCATTTGTTCCAAAATTAGACTTTGGAGAAATAAAAAGAGAGAAAGGAAGCGTGGATGTGAGGGAGAAGAGGAAAAGAAGAAATTTCTTGCAAGCTTCAAGAATCTAACCCAAGTCTTTCTTCTTCTTCATCCTAATGATGAGACAACTCCTTCTCATCATCATCAATTCAGGTGAGTCTCTAGTTAGAGACTTGGGGAATCAGAATTGTATGTTTTAGAGATAAGGGTTTGAGTGAAAATGTCATCCATAATCCTTGATCTTGCATGAATATGATTCATTTCCATCAATATTCTATACATGCATTGTTATTTCAAATTGTATCTTAAGAAAGACTGATTGCATGTGGAGATTTTGGGGTTTGCGAACGCAAAATTGTGTTGTTTCCATTTTCTGGTTTTTCTGAAAAAACAAAGTTCTCTTAGCGAACTATGGTCCGCTTAACGAAGTAGCCTTCACTACATAATTCGCTTAGCGACAGTCTGGGACTGGGGAAATTAAAATAAGGAATTATTCACTAGGACTTTGCTTAGCGAGTCAGGGCCTCGCTACAGGTTCGCTTAGTGAACCTTCCTTTTCAGAACATATTGAATTTTTCGTCTTGGTTCACTACTGGTTCGCTAGAGCTCGCTTAACAAACTTTCCCGGACAACAAATTTTTGTAACACTAAAATTTGCATAACTTGAGTTTGGAAACTCGGAATGAATCCCGGTTTGAGGCGTCGTGAAGATATTTCTATTTTCTACTCGATTATGAAGAAATTCTAGGATATGATTACTCTCATGATAATTGGCATGTATACTTGATTGATGTATTATGTTGGGATGTAACCTATTGCTATGACATGATCATTGTATGTTTCCCGTTCATTCTGGTTGAATGTTCAGATGTGATTGCATGTCTGGATTGTTATGATTGTTCTTGTATGCACTTGAAACAAAGTACTGACAAGGAAAACTTGGACATGGCGTCCAGTTTAGGCCAATCCTATGTACTTTAAGACAGAGTACTAATAGGGTAAACCTGGATATGGCGTCCAATTTAGGCCAATCATGTGTGCTCTGTGTGTATGAGAGATATGCTTGAATCGAAGTAGACCTATTCTACTAGGTAGTAAATCCTGGTTGACAGGTACACCTCTGTTGTGATGGGAAGCAAGTGCGAGTCATTATGGCATATCCAACTTGGTAACTCATATGCGTGCTTGGTATGGTGAGTTAGTGATACTACGTAGACAATATCACATTAGATACTCGCCTCTAGTGATGCCAAGTAGGCTACATCACTAGGCTTTCGCCTGATGGGATTGTACGTCAAAGAGGCATTGTTGCACTTGGTATTACCCAAATGTGTTTGGATGATTGACGGAGTCGTGATGCCACCTAGGCAATGTCATGGTGGTAACTCGTCACAGATGAAGTTCCACTCAGGATTTATCTATTTCATCGTGCATTAAGCTTGTCCAAGTCTCTTGACAATTAGGTATAAGGGTGACTCATTTGGGGTGTGACAGGGTGGGCCTAGGTAGACAAGTAGGACTTACTTATGGATTTATCATACATATGTACGGGTCTGCATATTGTTTGTGGCCTTGAGCTGATTGTGTTTTCTTGTTGCCTCGTTGAATAGTTATGAGACCTCCGATTGTGTTTTGTTGTTGCCTCAAATATTCAATGAGACAAGAGTTATCCATAAATCATCAAAGATAACTCTAAGGAGGCCTTTGGTGACGATATTAACAATATGGTTTGGGAAAGAGCGTGAAGAATGCAGGCTTGACCACAAATGACCTTCTCTCGGACAAAGTGAATGTCCATCCCCATGTGTTTTGTACGCTGATGTTGGATAGGATTTTCGGATAGGAAGATAGCCCAAATTGTTTTATAGAATACAAGAGAAGCCTGATAATGTCATAGAAAAATAAAGCTCCAAGAGAAGGTTGCAGAGCCAACATGATTCTTAAACTTCATTAGCACTTCCCTAGTACTCAACATCTGCACTAGAACAAGAAAGTGTGGGTTGTCTCTTGGAAGACCATGAGATTAGGTTCTCACAAAGAAAAATACAATAACCCAAAGTAGACCAACAAGTGTCAGGACATCCACCCCAGATAGCATTTATGTGGGAAATAAGTTTCTCGATGGAAGAAGGACAGAGATGTAAACCATATTGAAAGGTTCCCCGAATGTAACACGATATGTGTTTCAGTGCAGGTATGTGATCAGTTCAGGGAGCATACATGTGAAGACACACATGTTATACAACATATATAAGAGATGCAAAGACGGGTAAATATGAGATACTGCAAAGTAGTGGCAAGACTCTGAAATAATGTAAGATTATCATATGGAGTGAGTGAAGAGGTATTTAGATTCTGCTTGGTGTTAACTGGAGTAGCAAAAGTTTTTCAAGAGGACATTCCTGCTTGAGCAATAATATTATTGGCATAGGTACTCTGACTAAAAAACAATCCTTCTATATATCGTGTCACTATAATACCCAAAAATAGCTCAACGGTCCTAGTCAGCAAAATGTTAGTACCAAGCACGAGGTGCTTGCTTCAGACTATTGAGAGATTTTCGCAAGTGACATACATAATCTGGGTGAAGTGGATCGCGAAAACCCAGTCGTTGATGCATATATATGGTTTCATGATTATCACATGAAGAGAAAATGAGCAAAAAAGACCCATTTGACGATTTCTTCAACCACGGGTGTACATTATAATTTATTGTTTTTAAAAGAGATAATAAATTCATGCCTATAATTTTTTCCAGTATATAAAAATGTTTTAATCAACAATATGTTTTTTACCATATATAAATATTATTTTAATTTTAATATTATTTATAAAAATATTTAAATCAATAATAAATC